CTGCCCGTTCCTTTGTCATCTGCAGGCAATTTCAGCTAGGAATAGATCACAACTCCCCAGTCACCGCGATGTGTTGGCAGCTCAAAAGGTCTAAAATCAGTTCTGTGATCTGAATGCCTTACCAATGTCCAACACTGATCCGTCGCGCAGCACTAGAACCCACAACTCTTTTTTAAAAAAATTGGTTTTCACATATTGTTTTACAATACAGATGTACCAAAGCCAACACCATTTCCTCCCCATCCCCCCCCATACATTTACATTTCTATTTCCTCAATCCATCATATTATTCTTTTCTCCATCCTCAAACTTCCCTCCGCCCCATCGCGCAGCACTAGAAGCCACGAGTCTTGAAAGGAACCTGATCCTGCTTTGCAGATTGAACGCAGATGAGGCCTCCATGTATTTTTCTTTTCTTTTCTTTTTGGAATAACTTTTTATTTGCTTTTAAAAACAAGGAACATAGGAATAATAAAACATGTAGACCAAGTCTTCTCATGTCATTTCTATGTAAAATAGCAGAATAAATTTGCCGGAATATCTATAACATATAGTTCATCATTAGTGGTCAGTCTATGAGTTCTGGGTTCATGAATTGCTTTCAACTGAAACAAAAAAAGGGGAAACAGGAGAGAACAGAGAACATTCAACATCGCAGAGCCAAATGCCTAGACTGGAGCTCTTGTGGCCGTTGTGCTTAGATTAAGTGAGTAATAGTCATTTTTCCTCTTCTGTTACCAATGAAACAATACAGAGTTGGTCTCATCATGAAAATGGGAGGCAGGGGGTTCAAAGTGAAGAAAGAGATTTACGTATAAATTAAAATTTAGACCAACCAGATTGAGATAACTTCTGATGGGGAGTGTTCAGGTGAAGATGTTGCTGTTTGTTTCACAGACAAGGCGTGGACGTTGCTGGATCCTGACCAGAGAGCGCAGCATTAATAATAATAATAATAATAATAATAATAATAATAATAATAATAATTTATTATTTATACCCCGCCCATCAGGCTGGGCTTCCCCAGCCACTCTGGGCAGCTTCCAAAAAAATAATAATAAAAAAATACTGTACTACATCAAACATTAAAAGCCTCCCTAAACAGGGCCGCCTTCCGATGTCTTCTAAAAGTCTGGTAGTTGTTCTCTTGGACATTGGTGGGAGGGCATTCCACAGGGAGGGCGCCACTACCGAGAAGGCCCTCTGCCTGGTTCCCTGTAACTTGGCTTCTCGCAGTGAGGGAACCACCAGAAGGCCCTCGGTGCTGGACCTCAGTGTCCGGGCAGAATGATGGGGGTGGAGACACTCCTTCAGATATACTGGACCGAGGCCGTTTAGGGCTTTAAAGGTCAGCACCAACACTTTGAATTGTGCTCGGAAACGTACTGGGAGCCAATGTAGGTCTTTCAAGACCGGTGTTATATGGTCTCAGCGGCCGCTCCCAGACACCAGTCTAGCTGCTGCATTCTGGATTAGTTGTAGTTTCGCATAACCTTCAGAGGTAGCCCCATGTAGAGCGCATTGCAGTAGTCCAAGCAGGAGATAAGCAGAGCATGCACCACTCTGGCGCAACAGTCCGCAGGCAGATAGGGTCTCAGCCTGCGTACCAGATGGAGCTGGTAAACAGCTGCCCTGGACACAGATTTGACCTGTACCTCCATGGACAGCTGTGAGTTCAAAATGACTCCCGGGCTGCACACCTGGTCCTTCAGGGGCACAGTTACCCCATTCAGGACCAGGGAATCCTCCACACCTGCCCGCCTCCTGTCCCCCCAAAACAGTACTTCTGTCTGTCTGTAACCTCAATCTGTTAGCCGCCATCCATCCTCCAACCGCCTCCAGACACTCACACAGGACCTTCACCGCCTTCACTGGTTCTGATTTATAAGAGAGGTAGAGCTGGGTATCATCCGCATACTGATGAACACCAAGCCCAAACCCCCTGATGATCTCTCCCAGCGGCTGCATGTAGATGTTGAAAAGCATGGGGGAGAGGACAGAACCCTGAGGCACCCCACAAGTGAGAGCCCAGGGGTCTGAACACAAATCCCCCACCACCATTTACTGAACACGGCCCAGGAGGAAGGAGCGGAACCACTGTATGACAGTGCCCCCAGCTCCCAGCCCCTCAATACAGTCCATAAGGATGTTATGGTCGATGGTATCAAATGCCGCTGAGAGATCCAGCAGAACTAGGAAGCAGCTCTCACCTTTGTCCCTAGCCCGCCGGTGATCATCAACCAGTGCGACCAAGGCAGTTTCAGTCCCATGATGAGGCCTGAATCCCGACTGGAAGGGATCCAAATGGTCCGCTTCTTCCAGGCGTGCCTGGAGTTGTTCAGCAACCACTCGCTCAATCACCTTGCCCAAGAATGGAAGATTTGAGACTGGGCGATAGTTGGCCATTGTGGCCGCATCTAAAGATGGTTTTTTAAGAAGCGGTTTAATAACCGCCTCTTTCAGCGGGTCTGGGAAGGCTCCCTCACGGAGGGAAGCATTCACCACCCCACGAAGCCCATCGCCCAGTCCTTCCCGGCTAGCTTTTATAAGCCAGGATGGGCAAGGATCCAGGAGACAGGTGGTTGGTTTCACTCGTCCAAGCAGCCTGTCCACATCCTCGGGGGTAACAGATTGGAATTGATCCCACACAACTTGACTAGACAGGACTCTAGCACTCTCCCACTCCGGCCCTGCTCCCATGGTGGTGTCTACCTCTTCCCGAATCTGAGCGACTTTATCTGCAAAAAAAAATCATTGCAGATCATGTGGCCCTTACTGGGCCCCAATGTAACAGGTGGTTCCGCTAAATTGCGAACCACCTGAAAAAGTCTCCTGCTGCTGTTTTCTGCAGATGCAATAGAGGCGGTGAAGAAAGTCTTCTTCGCCGTCACTACCGCCACTTGGTAGGCTCGATATTGAGCTTTAACCCGTGTCCGGTCAGCTTCAGAATGAGTTATCCGCCACCGGGCTCTAGCTGTCTCAATGATTGTTTCATTGCCCTCAGATCCGTGGAAAACCATGGGGCTGTCCAGGCTCCATGCAGTCGGAGAGGGCGCTTCGGAGCCAAACAGTCAATATCCCTGGTTAACTCCACATTCCAGCGGGCCAGCAGGGAATCAGCTGAAAGGCCATCAACATGGGATAAAACATCCCCTACCACTCTCTGGAAACCATTTGGATCCATTAAGTGGCAGGGGCCGGCCATCCGAATTCGTCCCACCTCCCTGCAGAGGGGATGGATCGCGGAGAAGTCGAGTTGCACCAGGAAGTGATCTGACCATGGCACTTCTTTTGTTTCGCTTTTACTTAGTGTCAGATCACCAACATCCGTAGAGGTAAACACCAGGTCCAAAGGCATGTCCGCGGCTATGGGTTGGGCCAGACTTATTCAGGGACAGCCCCATGGAGGCCATGCTTTGCACGAAGTTCCGAGCGGCCCCTTGTAAGGTTGTGTCGGCATGGATATTAAAATCCCCTAGGACAACCAAGCTAGGTGTCTCCAGGAGAACATCCGCCACGACCTGAAGCAGCTCGGGCAGGGAATCCTTGGTGCAGCGGGGAGGTCGGTACACCAAAAGGAATCCTGTACTGCCCCTATTGCCCAACTTCCAGAACATGCACTCGGAAAACTGGGTCTTCCCAATAGGACGCCTGGTGCAAACTAATGACTTCCTAAAAATCACTGCAACCCCCCCTCCCCGCCCACATGACCTGGGTTGCTGTGCGTAAGAGAAACCTGGTGGACAAGCAGCGACAAGGACAGGCCCATCTGCTTCATCCAACCAAGTCTCTGTTACACATGCCAGGTCAAGTCCTCCATCCATGATCAAGTCATGGATGGCAGTGGTTTTATGAATCATTGACCTGGCATTGCACAGCAGCACCTTCAGGTCATGTGGGTATCCCTTGCTGATTCTAGTATCCATCCAGTCAGGACGAGACCCGGAGGCAGGAATAGTCGTCAAACAACGACTAAACCTGCCTCCTCTGTAACGACATGGTCTGGTCTTAGCGTAACTCCTCCTCCTACCCGTGATCACTGAGGTCGGCACTCACACAGGGGAGTCCTCCTGGGCAGCAGAGCAGTCCTTTTGAGGCTTCAGGCCCCGCCCCGAGCCAGGTGGTTAGTGGCAAGAGCAGGGCCCTCAGGCACTCACACAAGGGAGTCCTCCTGGGCAGCAGAGCAGTCCTTTTGAGGCTTGAGGCCCCGCCCCGGGCCAGGTGGTTAGTGGCAAGAGCAGGGCCCTCAGGCACTCACGCAGGAGAGTCCTCCTGGGCAGCAGAGCAGTCCTTTTGAGGCTTGAGGCCCCGCCCCGGGCCAGGTGGTTAGTGGCAAGAGCAGGGCCCTCAGGCATTCACACAAGGGAGTCCTCCTGGGCAGCAGAGCAGTCCTTTTGAGGCTTCAGGCCCCGCCCCGGGCCAGGTGGTTAGTGGCAAGAGCAGGGCCCTCAGGCACTCACACAGGAGAAGTCAAGGAGGAGAATCGTGGGGTCATGGACTTTCTCAGTAAGGATCCCTGTTGGATCATAACATGTTGTGATTGGAGATGCAGTGGATTCCATGATTGAGCCACAAAAATATCCATCCCAGATAAAAGCCAAGCAATATCTCAGTTAATACCAGGAAACAAAAACAGTGAAAACTATTGTACGGCCTCACATCTCATTCTCTTCAGTTCGTCCTCTGTCACAAGAATTCATTAACATTGTTCAATAATCTGGAGTTCCCATTTCCTCCTGAGACTCTAATTCGCTTCTCTCTTCATTGCAGATGGTGATGAATCAGAAGGGAAGAACAAGGGGGAGCACAACAGAATCCACATAGCGGAGAATTCAGATAAATATTCAGAGTGTGGAGAGAACATCCGTCGGAGCTCCCAGTGCACCTCCCGTCAAAGAAAGAGCTTCATTCGAAGGAATACCCTCACTTCACACGAAAGAACACAGAGTAGGGAGAAATTGTATCAGTGCAGAGAATGTGGAAAGAGCTTCAATCAAAAGGGTAATCTCACTTTGCATCAAAGAGTTCATACAGGGGAGAAACCATATAATTGCTTGGAATGTGGAAAGAGCTTCAGTCACTGGGGGAATCTCACTTCCCATCAAAGAGTTCATACAGGGGAGAAACCGTATCAGTGCTTGGAATGTGGGAAGAACTTTAGTCACCGCCAGAATCTCGCTTCTCATCAAAGAATTCATACAGGGGAGAAACCCTATCAGTGCTTGGAATGTGGAAAGAGCTTCAATCGGAAGGGTCACCTCACTTCCCATCACAAAATTCATACAGGGGAGAAACCCTATCGGTGCTTGGAATGTGGGAAGCGCTTCACTCAGGAGGGGAATCTCACTTCTCATCAAAGAATTCATACAGGGGAGAAACCCTATCAGTGCTTCCAATGTGGGAAAAGCTTTCGTCTGAGTGGTGATCTCACTTCCCATCAAAGAATTCATACAGGGGAGAAACCCTATCAGTGCTTGGAATGTGGAAAGAGCTTCAGTACGTGGGTGAATCTCACTTCTCATCAAAGAATTCATACAGGGGAGAAACCCTATCAGTGCTTGGATTGTGGAAAGAGCTTCAGTCGGAAGGAAAGTCTTACTACCCATCAAAGAATTCATACAGGGGAGAAACCCTATCAGTGCTTGGAATGTGGAAAAGGTTTTCATCTGAGTGGTCATCTGACTTCCCATCAAAGACTTCATACAGGAGAGAAACCGTATCACTGCTCAGAATGTGGAAAGAGCTTTCGTCTGAGTGGTGATCTGACTTCCCATCAAAGAGTTCACACAGGGGAGAAACCCTATCAGTGCTTGGAATGTGGGAAGAGCTTTAATCAAAGCGCACATCTCACTTCCCATCAAAGAACTCATACAGGGGAGAAACCCTATCAGTGCTTGGAATGTGGGAAAAGCTTCCGGGAGGGCCACAAGGTCACTTCCCATAAAAGAATTCATACAGGGGAGAAACCCTATCAGTGCTTGGAATGCGGAAAGAGCTTCAGTCAAAGTGCCACACTCTCTTCCCATCACAGAATTCATACAGGGGAGAAACCCTATCAGTGCTCAGAATGTGGAAAGAGCTTCAGTCAGGAGGGGAATCTCACTTCTCATCAGAGAATTCATACAGGGGAAAAACCCTATCAGTGCTTCGAATGTGGAAAGGGCTTCAGTCGGAAGGATAGTCTTACTACCCATCAAAGAATGCATACAGGGGAGAAACCCTATCAGTGCTTGGAATGTGGAAAGAGCTTCCCTCAGGAGGGGAATCTCACTTCTCATCAGAGAATTCATACAGGGGGAAAACCCTATCAGTGCTTCGAATGTGGAAAGAGTTTCAGTCAGAAGGAAAGTCTTACTACCCATCAAAGAATTCATACAGGGGAAAAACCCTATCAGTGCTTCGAATGTGGAAAGGGCTTCAGTCGGAAGGATAGCCTCACTTCCCATCACAGAATTCATACAGGGGAGAAACCCTATCAGTGCTTGGAATGTGGAAAGAGCTTCACTGATAGCTCCAGTCTCACTTCCCATCGCATAATTCATACAGGAGAAAAACCCTATCAGTGCTTGGAATGTGGGAAAAGCTTCAGTCAGAGGGGCAATCTCACTTCCCATCAAAGAATCCATACAACAGAGAAAACGTCTTAGTGTTTGGAATGTGGGAAAAGATTCATTCATTGCCCACCAAATAATTTATACGGGTTTGAAAAAGGGGTCCCTCTCAAAGGGGGCTGAAGACAACCGACAGATTACAACTGGGGAATATTTCACACAGGAAACCACATCTGCTTGCATGGACTTTTGTCATATATGGATTTATAAAAGTGAAGATGAATCTTTGATCTTTGTAAGCTTCCCTTAGGGCTCAGGGGGAGCAAGCTTGGATTGTAGAGGAACCGAACAATTATTAACTGTGAAATCTATCCCACAGTGTGGTCTCTTCAGTTTGGGAAGATTCTTCGGTTTGGGAAAATATCAGTCCATTAAAATACATTACATGTCCTAATTTTAATTAAACAAAGGAAAGCTGGAAGACAGCCCAGAGTCCTGGAAGGTAAGACGGTGGAATGAAATAGGGCCTTCTGAGGAGGGACTGCACCGAAAACAATTGAGGGACAACAAGAACAAAAATTTCATCTTGCATGTTAATATACATATAGATCTGTTAAATATGATTAAAGTTGCATGCCAGTGGCTGTCAAGATAAGATAAAGGATTAAGATCGGGATGATATTGGGAATAAATAAAAGAGAGAAAAGTAGGAACAAGAACAAAAAATAATCATCATCATCAATCTTTGACTTTTGTCTTCTTGGTTTCTCTGTTGTTATTCTGTCTCTCACAGCTACAATAAACCTACCATTATTATTGTGGACTAGGCATTTCTTCGTCAGAGGGCAAAAAAGCAAATTTAGCAGGGGATCAAATACTTTCTCTCCTCACTCTATATGTTCACACACACACACACACCTGGCTCTCGTTTAGAGGAAGAGTGAGAGACGGAGGCTCTTTACTTTTAGAACTAGAATACAAAAAAGGGAGGTGTGAGGAGGTCAAGGAAACAAGCAAATGAAAGATAAGTTATGTGAAGGTTTGAACTGTTTTTGTTTTTGTTTTAATTGTTTGTATTTTTTTTCTTTTTTGCTCTTTTTTATTGTGATGTCTTGTTTTCTGTTTAATATGGTGTTTTTTCTTTTTCTTGTGTAACCTTTAAAACTTTAATAAATATTAATTTTTAAAAAAATAGAATGGCATTTCCATGGCACCTCCTTTCCTCCCACGAGCTCCTCCTTCCACACCAACCCTGCCAGGCTGGCCGCTTGCCTTTCACCCCCTTTCCAGCACTGCGTTGTTTAGTGTGGCAGCACCTGCCCTTTGGAACTCCCCGCCTCTTGCAATAAAGCGCGTGCCTTTGCTAGACTCTTTTCAGGCAGCGGCTAAAAGCATTAGGAAGCTGAAGTAATTTTAATCTGTTTTAATATTTTAGCTTTTCTCTGTTTTAAAGTAGGCTTGTTAATTTTTATTGATTTTACTGCAGTGGTGTTGTTGTTTCTTTGTTTTTTTGTATTGGTAAACAACTTTACAGGTTTTTTAATTTTAATAAATAAATAAACAAAAAATATAAATAAAACAACACAAGCCAAAACACAATGCATCCTGTAGATTTAAGCATCTCTCCACAGTGGCCTCCTTGTTATCAGAGGCCCAGAATCCACAATCCTTTGTAAGAAAATGTGAAATAAAGTCAAAACATTTTTGCAGGCAAAAAATAGAGGTCAATATTGGGGAGGTGACAAAAACTTTTCCACACCAGGTACCCCCTGACCTTGTTATGCCACTACCCGGGGTGCAGGGAGGGGGCATGGGGGTCCCTGTTCAGATCATGCCTGGGGGGAGAGACCCCCAAGTCAGGGAGCAGAGGGTCCTCCCTTGTCCTCTCTGCCAAGCCAGGTAGGGGCCACTTCGCAGGAGTGAAGAAAGACAGTCAGGTTACCCTAAAAACCCTAAAACTGTTTGTGAATTCCCCCAGCCAGGCCTCCAAGCCTCGCCTCAGGAACTCTCAAATCTTTTTTCTCTCTCTAAGGCTAAAAGCATTAGCTAAGCATATTGCTCTTGCTGTAACAAAAAGACTGAAACGACTGAACACTCTGAAACCCCCTTTGGTTTCTCACCCCCTTTTCCTGGGAACAGTCCAAAATAGTCCCAAGACGGGAACTTTCTGTTCATGCTCAGGAGACATGGGGCAGAACTTTTCCGAAGGAGGAGAAAGGGGAGGGAACTGGAAGGGGAATAGATGCTCTGTGCAAATGGCTGTGAACTCGTGCTTGTTTGTGAGTTATCACACTTGCTCCTTCTACCAGTTCATGGATGGTAGAAATAAAGCTTTTTCTCCGAAACTATTCCTTGAGTGTCTGTTGACTCCCATTTTCCCTTTCCCGGGCGCAATATTTTTCCCACCCAAGGGCAACGCCTCATAAGGCCACAGGAGGACTGCAGCTGTTCTTCCTTGGGATCCAGATGCTGCCTGCCTTTTGGGGGAGGGGGATTTGGGTAAATAAAATAAACCCCCTTCAAATTGAGGGAAAAGTCACCTTTGTGAACAGAGGATGTAGACAGACAAGAACATTCCCACGTGGGGGGAGCACAGGGAGAAGAAAAGCCCGTCTGCATCTTCACAACCGGACCACTTCCTCTGTCCCAGATGCAACAACACATGTCTCTCCCCTATTCAGGCTAAACAAGTAGACAAACTAATGTGAAAGCAAATTTCAGGTGTGACCTCAGGAAATGCTAAAGCAATGATAAAAGACTCCTTCTCCCAACCTTTTCGGACAAATGAGGAGAGATTATCAGTCATTGTACCACTGACAGAGGACATGGAACACATAACATCCTTTCTGGCTCACTGTAATAAAACCCTTACCATCCTGATAGATACTTGTAAAACCTTCTGGAAAAATCCTAGCTGAGCATTTGTGGGTTTTGATAAGCAAGAAATGGAAATTGGTGCTGTCTCAAAAGAGACTAGTTCTTTTAAGCTACCCTCAGCCTTTGGGAATCTTGTCACAGGAGGAGCGAGAAGCTCCCCTCTGGAGTTCATAAAGGGTAGATATTCCTGGTGCCCTTAAGCCTGCTGTTCCGCCAGGGAAGCGTGGCTGCGTCCAAAGCACTGAATGGTGGAAGTACTCAGGGAAGGGAGCAGAGAGCGAGGGAAGCATCAGGCCCCCATTTCTAGGAAGGGGAACATCGGCCTGAAGGGGAGCAGCTGCATTTGGGCAAGCGGAGCTGAAGAAAAGCTGGGCCTGTCCTGCTGCGCTTCAGGCCCTGACAGCCTCCACGTCCAAGTGTAAGTTGACTTCTCCCCTCCATTCACCGTGCGAGGAGGGCCGTCCCGGAGTTGACGCTGCCCAGGAGGCCAGAAAGAGCAGAAGCCATGTTGGGTCAGGGCAACCGGTCCTTCTATGTTTGGAGCGGGAGGAAGGGCCGGCGGCCAAATTTTGTGCCTGTCTGTTATACACACATACATCTCAATAATAATAATAATAATAATAATTTATTATCTATACCCGCCCATCTGGTTGGGCTTCCCCAGCCACTCTGGGCGGCTTCCAAAAAAATATTACAATACTGTAATACATCAAACATTAAAAACTTCCCTGAACTTCCCTTCAGATGTCTTCTAAAAGTCTGGTAGTTGTCGATCTCTTTGGCATCCACAGGGAAGGCGCCACTACCGAGAAGGCCCTCTGACTGGTTCCCTGTAACTTGGCTTCTTGCAGTGAGGGAACCGCCAGAAGGCCCTCGGCGCTGGACCTCAGTGTCCAGGCAGAAGAATGGGGGTGGAGACGCTCCTTCAGATATACTGGACCGAGGCTGTTTATCTATCTCTATCATCTACCTACCTACCTACCTACCTAGATATATATACACCCCCCTGGTTCTCCTTTGGAGGAGGAGTGAGGGACGGAGGCACCTTACTGGCAGAATGGCATTTCCCTGGCACCTCCTTTCCTCCCAGGAGCTCCTCCTTCCACAACAACCCTGCCAGGCTGGCCTCTGGCATGTGGCCCCCTTTCCAGCAGGCGAAGCTGCAGGGGCCACTCACTTCCTGGCCCCCCCAAAATGGAGGCGGCCTTGGACCCTGGAGGAGCCTGAGAGGAGCCTGGAGGGGGGCAGGGGGGGCCTCTCGCCCCTTCCCAGACTTGTCCGCCATCCATTTATTACTACTATTCATTAGGCCTCGCGGGGCTCTGGCACCCGGCACAGTTATGCTAAAGAATTTCAAACCCTAAGAGTTTAAAATAGATAGATGGATAATTGATAGGTAGATGATCTATAGATATATGGCAGCTGCCGGATGCCCCCCTTGTTTGGGCCTATGATGGACAGCAGAGCCAGGCCAGTCAGCGGATTTCGTCCCTCAGAAATTTCCTGTAGCCTCGCTCTGATTGGCTGCTAAGCCAGTGGGGGGGGCGGAGCCAGCCCTTTTGGCGGGAAAAGGCAAGGCGGCTTTTCTGAGGGGGGAGCTTGGAGGGGAAGGTGGGGAGGAGAGGAAGAGGAGTCAGGCGGGAGTTCAAGGGGAGAAGCTGGGGGGAGGGAAGGGAGACCCCAAGAAGGAGGGCTGAGGGGACCCCCTGGGTGTGGGGGGCGGAGGGAGACCCCCAAGAAGGAGGGCTGAGGGGACCCCCTGGGTGTGGGGGGCGGAGGGAGACCCCCAAGAAGGAGGGCTGAGGGGACCCCCTGGGTGTGGGGGGCGGACTGAGGGGGGGAGCGGAGGGAGACCCCCAAGAAGGAGGGCTGAGGGGACCCCCTGGGTGTGGGGGGCGGACTGAGAGGGGGGCGGAGGGAGACCCCCAAGAAGGAGGGCTGAGGGGACCCCCTGGGTGTGGGGGGCGGAGTGAGAGGGGGGAGTGGAGGGAGACCCCCAAGAAGGAGGGCTGAGGGGACCCCCTGGGTGTGGGGGGCGGACTGAGAGGGGGGAAAGGGCCCCCCAAGTCTGACTCCAGAGCCTGGAAGAAGCCAAGCCTCCAAGTCCCAGGGAAGGAGGCGTCTCCGGACCCCAGCTTGGCCTCCCCAATTCAGTGGGGCTGCCCCAGGGAAGATGAGGGGCTGGAGGGAAGACTTGGAAGGGTCTCCCTTGGGGGGATCTGGGCTTCCTCTTCCTCCCTGGCGCCTGCTCTCGAGGAGGCTGCTCTTTCCCTTGCAGGAGACTCCTGGGGAAGCCCTGGCTCCGAGGGGGGGAGAGGGAGGGCTGGGCTGGCAAGGGTTAAGAGGAGCAGAGCGGGATTCCTAGAGAGGGCAGGAAGCGAAGGGGGAGGGGCAAGGTCCTCCATGGCTAAATTCCCTCCCTCCCTCCCTGCTTTCTTCTTCTCTCTCCTTTGCAAAAGCCCCTCCTGGACTCGGGTGAGTCTCGTCTCTCTTCCCCTGAGGGTGCAATGGGGAGAAGGGGGTCCCAGGGGTGCAGGGAGGGGCATGGGGGTCCCTGTTCAGGTCATGCACAGTGTGGGGAGACCCCCAAGTCGGGGAGCAGGGGGTCCTCCTTTGTCCTCTCTGCCAAGCCAGGGAGGGGCCACTTTGCAGGAAATATGCAGCTCTGCTCTTCCTTGGGATCCAGATGCTGCCTTCCTTTTTGGGGAGGTGGCTTTGGGTCAAGGAAATAAACCCCCTTCAGAGGGAGGGAAAAGTCACATTTGTGAACAGAGGCTGCAGCCAGAGGGGAACATTCCCACGTGGGGGGAGCACAGGGAGGAGAAAAGCCCGTCTGCATCTCCAGACCACTTCCTGTGTCCCAGATGCAACAACACATGTCTCTCCCCTGTCGCTCTCCACACCCAGGGCTGGCGCTGTTACCTTCCAACACCTGGATCTCACTCCCAAAGACAGACTCTTCCATGGTCTCCTAAGACAGATGAAAGCCGACCAGCCAACCATTCCCTCCCCTCCCCCTCCTGGTGCCCCTTGAAGTTGGCTTGAGGGCAGGGGGAGGGTCCACCCCACCAGATGAAGGGAGAGGAGGTCCTTCCATCTGGAAAATGGGAATGCTTGCAAAGATTTACTTGAAGATGAGTGGAATTCCCCCATTTACACAAAGATTAAAACCCATCATTTAAATACACAAGAAAATTGTTACAGAAAAGAACAGAGCAATGTGTAGAAGATCATCTTTCTTCTCCCTTTTTCCCTTAGGGTCCAGTGTGCTTTGAAGACGTAGCTGTTCCTTTCACAGAGGAGGACTGGGCTTTGCTGGATCCTGACCAGAGAGCTCTGCAGAAGGAAGTCAAGGAGGAGAATCCTGGGATCGTGGCCTCTCTGGTAAGGCTCCCTGCTGGATCATAAGATCAGTTTTGAAATTCCATACAGATCTCTGAAGGACAAACCTCCTCTATTTTGAGGGAGCCCCATAGCGCCACCTGCAGCATCTGAGATGTCAACACACCCACAACTCTCCATAGGAGATGTATCTCCTGTTCTGTCTGGGAATATTCTTCCACCAGTCCTGCCTTTTCCAACCAGGATGAGGCTGCTCTGAGCTGCCCAGGCCTTCTTCCATGTAGGCTTCAGAGATATTAAGGACATGGAGGTACATCCTGTCTAATTTTCTATTTTCCTTTCTGCATCTCTCTGTTTTTGGTTGAGCAAAGAAATGACTGAGCTTGGAGATGGAGCGGATTCCACGACTGAGCCAAATTAAATCCATCCCTGGAAAGAGCCAGGCTTTTCGAATCTCCGGGTCCCATAAATAAGTTAGATAATATCAGCCAAAAAAGGCAGATATGCAAGGTTATCAAATGGTCTGATGTCCTGTCAAAAGCCAAATCAAAACCAACTAGGGAGAGGGTTTTCATAAAAAAGAATTGGAAATGGGTGCTGTCTCAAAATAAGCTACTTCTCTCAAGCTACCCTAAGCCTTTGGAAATCTTGTCACAAGAGGAGTGTAAAGTTTGTGAATATAGTGTATAAGCACAGAAAATATCTATGAAGGAGTGGTGTATCAGTCTCAAGATTATTCAAAAATGTGGCATCACCAGATCCTCTGCTTCCACATACAGCTGTTGTTGTTTAGTCGTGTCCTACTCTTTGTGAGCCAGTATGGTGTAGTGGTTAAGAGCGGTAGTCACGTAATCTGGGGAACCGGGTTCGCGTCTCCGCTCCTCCACATGCAGCTGCTGGGTGACCTTGGGCCAGTCACACTTCTCTGAAGTCTCTCAGCCCCACTCACCTCACAGAGTGTTTGTTATGGGGGAGGATGGGAAAGGAGAATGTTAGCCGCTTTGAGACTCCTTCGGGTAGTGATAAAGCGGGGTATCAAATCCAAACTCCTCTTCTTCTTCTGTGACCCCCCGGACCAGAGCACGCCAGGCACTCCTGTCTTCCACTGCCTCCTGCAGTTTGGTCAAACTCATGCTGGTAGCTTTGAAAACACTGTCCCACCATCTCGTCCTCTGTTGTCCCCTTCTCCTTGTCTTTCCCAACATGAGGGTCTTTTCCAGGGAGTCTTCTCTTCTCATGAGGTGGCCAAAGTATTGGAGCCTCAGCTTCAGGATCTGTCCTTCCAGTGAGCACTCAGGGCTGATTTCCTTCAGAATAGATAGGTTGGATCTTCTTGCAGTCCATGGGACTCTCAAGAGTCTCCTCCAGCACCAGAATTCAAAAGCATCCATTCTTCGGCGATCAGCCTTCTTGATGGTCCAGCTCTCACTTCCATACATCACTACTGGGAAAACCATGGCTTTTACTATACGGACCTTTGTTGGCAAGGTGATGTCTCTGCTTTTTAAGATGTTGTCTAGGTTTGTCATTGCTTTTCTCCCAAGAAGCAGGCGTCTTTTAATTTCGTGACTGCTGTCACCATTTGCAGTGATCATGGAGCCCAAGAAAGTCAAATCTCTCACTGCCTCCATTTCTTCCCCTTCTATTTCCCAGGAGGTGATGGGCCCAGTAGCCATGATCTTCGTTTTTTTGATGTTGAGCTTCAGACCATATTTTGCACTCTCCTCGTTCACCCTCATTAAAAGGTTCTTTAATTCCTTCTCACTTTCTGCCATCAAGGTTGTGTCATCTGCATATCTGAGGTTGTTGTTGTTGTTGTTTTTAGTAAATTTTTTTATTAGATTTTCACAATAAACAGACTTACATAAACAAAAAAGGACAAAATCACAAACAACAATACAATACAATACAATACAAAAATACAAAACATAACAAAAAACAAAAATTCCCTCTTTCTTAATTCTCATTTTCAAATAGCTTATTTTCCCGACTTCCTCACACCCCCCGTTCTTGTATTCCTTTTTTAAAAGTCAGTTCAGCAAATTCATAACCTGTTAATTTATCTATTTGTTGGTCCAATCTTACATTTTACTTTGTTGCTAAAGCCCCTAGGGTATGTTTCAATGTCCTTAACATTCATAAATTTTAAAGTATTTCTGCAGATAAATTTTAAATTTCTTCCAGTCTTCCTCCACCGTCTCTTCTCCCTGCTGCATATCTGAGGTTGTTGATGTTTCTTCCGGCAATCTTAATTCCGGCTTCGGATTCATCCAGCCTCGCCTTTCGCATGATGAATTCTGCATATAAGTTAAATAACCAGGGGGACGATATACAGCCTTGTCGTACTCCTTTCCCAATTTTGAACCAGTCAGTTGTTCCATATCCAGTTCTAACTGTAGCTTCTTGTCCCACATAGAGATTTC